CGACCCCCGGGGCGGCGAGAGGAAGCACCGGTTTGTTACTTCCATTTCCCAAACTAAGCCTGCAGCACTCTACAGACTGTTTTTAAATGCATGCGTAAGCTATCTCTTTTCCCAGTAAAACTACCACTCGTTTTGATAACGGGAGGGCAGGTGAAGTTAGTAAATTGTGCAGGACTTTGCTCAAAGCTGCTGTCAGTGAACGGTTACAGGAGCATTACTGCCTCTCCTTCCTCCCTTGTCCAAATGTTGGAAGAGTTTGCACAAATATTTATGCTTTCATACGTTAAACAAATAACCCGCCCAACCCCAAACAAATACCCTATTAGCTGTTATTTCTGATTAAAGAACAGAAAAGCCTTCTTTATGTTAAAGGATTCCAGACAAAGTTCCACAACCAGTGACCCATTTTGATCAATGATCCAAGAACAAACTATGGAATTGATTAAAAACATTACCTGGAGTTTCCTCCCCAGAAGCAGAGACGTGTGCAGCTGGAGCATCCCCAGCAGAGAAACTCCCGGAATAGGAACAAACTGGAAACACGGTGGGGAGGTGCTGCCATTAACAGAGAACAACCGGTGCTCCCAGCCCGGAGGGGATGTGACAAGCCTCAGACCTCCATCGGCTTCAGTCAGTTTTTTTTCCCACTTAAAGTATCTTTTAATGCCACGTGAGAATATTCACTCTCGGATCTCTTAGTATCTCAGCTGATATTTGGCTAAAAAAAAAAAAAAAAAAAAAAAAAAAGGACTCAAGCACTAAGTCTCTGCTAATGGCAGACGACATGATGCTGTCATGGTTCCAGCTGAAGTGAGGTGGTTATGGAGGACACTGCCTCCGCTAACCCTCCGTGACACGCGGTGCCATCCTGGGAATGCCAAACTCCAGTGGTCAGCTCTCCCTTTTCAAAACCCATCCGTAGGACGCCTTTTCCCACACCTAGGGTGTAACACATCGTACTGTTTCACAGTACACCTGCAAGGCTCAACATTCATCCAGCAGTGCTCCCTTGAAATGAGAAAGGTTGCAATAAGCATCCTCAGTATTTATCCTAACTCCTCAAGTGTTATTTACCTCATTATCTCCTAAAGGTGAGCCGACGACAGCGCCATTGGAGATGCCATCATGTAAACCTGCTCATCAGCAATACACGGGCACCGCCACCCCCCAAGGACCCCAACAGAATACGGCACAGCACGTGGCTGCCGCAGTGAAGGGATGAGCACGGTGCCGGTTAGCCGGCACCACAGCTGACTTCCAGCAGTTTGTTGTACCTAAAATAAAGCTGGGGGGGCAGCGGGCAGACAGACCTCGCAGAGACACTTTACTCTCTGGTCCTTCATCACAGTTGCTTCCATCAGACAACAGCGCACAGGAGCCAGGTGGAAATGAAACAAGCTTGCTTTAAAATGTACCAATGTGGACATTTTAATGCTTTTTATTATTAATCCATTATCTGAAGAAACATTTTCCAGCAGTGGATTTTACTCTGTTGCCAAATTTACATATAATTAAAGACTAGTCTGCTTCTGTTTAGACTCCCTTTCTGGTTTTCAATTACTAGACCACCACTCACACCCACCACCACCGTTCATGAATGTATTTCGCTTTTCTCAGAAAAGTGCATCAGCCCTAAACTTACCTCATCAGCACTTCCTCCTTTGCTAGGACAAATTTCACTGATCTTTGATAAGGCAGCCCAGAAACACCCGCTCTGTTCTACAGGCAGCGATTTATCTGACTGCAATAGCTACAGAGGGCAAGGAAAAGGTTTTTCTAGCGAGGCAGGAGGATTTAGCGCTGGGCCACTGAGGCCAACACCAACACCCACGGCAGCCAACCCGCCGTTCCACGGCCCCAGCTTAATTGGGTTTGCGTCTTACCAGAGTGGGACCGTGTTTGGTTCTAATAGTGTGGCTCCAAGGTCTTTGCTGATCCACTAACTAAAAAAAGGTATTTTGTGTCATTTATAACAGGTATGCGAAGACTACCACAGTCACTGGGCCTCTGTATTTTAAAAAGTCAAAATCAGTAGTTCAAACACACTGCTTCCTCTAAAACGTTTCTGAAAGATACGGAACACATACAGATGAAAACACCCTGAAGTTTTGTAAAAAGCTCATTTTAAATGCGCTGCCATTTAAACCCAAAAGTATTTTCAGTACTCAAACAACCTGACGATCTACGATACACGTGGCCAGGTAAGTGCACATCCTGCTCTTCTTGCACTGCAGTAGCCAAGAACAACAACATAACCTGTTAGTACGGGCCATACAGAAAGATTTGCTCCTGTTTTCCAAGAGAAAGCACTCGCTGCACAGTTGACTCACAGGTTTTATTTACACTTGTCTACAGAATCATCTTGCCTTACATTTTATCTGAGCCAAATGAAACCATCATTTTCCTTTGTCTGTAGCCTATCGTTTGCTAAATTTAAAAACTTCCATCTGTTAAGTACAGCAACAATTGTAATACAAAGCACAAGAAAAAACCCAAAGGCTAACAACATAGCATCTATTAGATCTGATTTTTACAATTTAGTAGTTGGACTTTGAAGTCGTCAGAGGCACAGTTACAAGACTAACCTGCTCTTGTGCAATCTACACACAGTTAGCATTGAAAATAGACAGAAAAGAAAGCATTAAAGAAGAAACTGCAGAGCATTTTTTTTTCTGCAAAAAGATTATCAAAATATTTCTACACCAAAAACATTTTGCTTATATACCAGTCCAAAAGAAATGTCTTAAAAAAAAAAAAAGCAAGCAGAATGTAGTTTTTAAATTTTGCTCCGTTTGTTTTTGTGCAGTTCATTTAAAAAAGCAGCGGTCAAATACGGGTTTGGAAGTTTTACTACTGAAATAAATGCAGATATATTGCTGTTTGCTTAAAAAGAAGATTTTTCCTTAACATACTTACCTTGTGATGGCACTGAAGATATTTAAACCTTTCTTAACCAAACGGAGCTCAAGAGACCACGTTTTAATGTGATATTGCTAGCAAAATAGATTCAATAAAGCATTTTAAGCCATAAATTATGTTTAAGGGAAAAATAATGATTGAAGAACACATTTAAGATGTCAGAACTTTCTACAGTTTATTAATTCTCATTTTTAAATATAAATAAAATCCAGATACCTTGAAAATTTTAGCCCCAAATGAATTTTACAGATGGCCTGCAGAAGCTTCACGTGATTCCAAGAAGCTAGTTCCACATTCCTCCATCTCAAGAGTAGTTCCTAAATGACCCTTTTCTACGGGAGGATCACGGAGTCCGGGATCCATGCAGGTTAAGAATGGCGCAGCCGGTGCCCGCTGCAGAAAGGGCACTTTGCTGACTGCAGCAAATCGCTTCCACAGTGACAGGCACCGGCAGCGACGAGACTCGAGCAATGGAGGGGATAGCGCCTGAGGTCTCGAACATCCTGGCTTTGAAGGAATGAAATCTAATTCACTCCCGGCAGAATCGGATGACGGACCGGGTATTTTTGCACCGAGCAGAGCTAAAGAGAGGGGCGTCCATCTATACTTTTTCTTCAACACAGAAAAATAAAAAATAATTGGACTGAAGTACTCACTACTGTCATCCAGCGGCAACACCAGCCCTACAGCTACGCTCATCTTACGTGGTCCCGTACGAGCTACATCAAACCAGCTCAGGAGCTGGATGCAGAAAGCTCATGCCTCCAACTTTGTTGTAATTGTCACATGAAGAGAGGAGTTGTACTAGAACATATCCAGCCTGTGCCTGCTCATACGCCTAAGAGAACCAGGAATCGAGTAATTGAGTCTTTCAAAACAAGAAAAAAACCCTTACTCAAATAGGAAAACTTCCCACCTCTTCTGGGGAGTTTATGGCTTAAAATGCTACCTCACTTTTTGTTTCATGAATGAACAAAGCTGCAGTTTTCCAGAAAGCAAGGACAGACATGCACCTCTACTAGCAGATTTAGCACTTCTGACCAAGTAAGACACCAACTTCTTAAAAATGTCTCATGCACTGACTGGAATTTTTTTTTTTTTTTTTTTAAATGTGAGCTTTAATACGTTATTTCTTTTTAGAACTTGTACGGGAACCAGAATGGGAAGATCCAGATGATGATCTGCGGCGTCTGTAAGATACAAATGGAGAAAGCATGCAAAGAAATAAGTTGAAATTAATTTTAGCATCCACTTTGAGTAGTCTGTATCCTATAATAGCTGGAAGCCAAGTATATCTGATAGGGGCCTTATAAGAATATAGAAATAACTTTAAACCACTTTAAGCTCATGAATGTGAATTTAATACTAAAAATGTAAGTTTAATACTGAAAGTAGAGTAAAATTTCTAAATGCAATATTTATCAAAATAAATCAGTAACGTACACGCTAACGCTTTCACACACTGGAAGAGTGGTGACCCAGGTCTTTCTATGGAACATGCTCCTACCAGGAGGAAGTTTCATTGGGAGGGGGAAGCAATTACAGAGGTTTTAATAGGAAGTAAAAGTAGGGGAAGTGAGAAAGCTACTTTTGATATCAGAAAAACTGATCAGATTCAATTCTTTCCCAGTGAATCTCAGTCCTTCAGAAAAAAAAAAAAAAATCACACATTTAAATACACCCATTCTTATTCTACATAAACCCAAACCTTTCGGGTGACCGTGATCTCGATCGTCTTTTTTTGCGATCACCAGATGAAGAAGATCTAGAACGACTTCGCTTCTTGCTTCTCTCGGGAGAAGATGATGAACGAGAGCTTGAGTAAGATCTTTTTCTTGGGGTGGAAGACCCCCTGTAGGACCTGGAGCTGGATCTTTATTGATTAAGAAATAAATCAGATTTAATTCTGGTATAATATAGAGAGAACAAAGAAAGAACAAAAAGACAGTTTCATGAACACTTACTACTCTGTTTACATCAGTGTTTTGTCAAATAAATTTGTGGATGCTTTAATACTTACTCCTTAGTTATCTGCCAATAAAGACTTCTACTGCCGTGGTAGTTTTCTTAATAAATTTTGCTAAATAGTACTCTTGATATACAGACCACCAACGGTTTGGAAGCCTCTTTCCAGCATTGGCCAGAATGACGCATTTTGGCAAAGAAGCGATGGGAGACTGGGACAGGAAGTACCCTGTATAAGGACCTCCTCAGGAGCTAAATTCGCAAAGCAAAACAGCTTGAAAACCATAGATGTAATGCTGATTTAACAACGTTTCACTTCATATTGATGGATATTTCACACTGGAAATTTGTAATGCCCATCTTACTAGAATAGTTAAAACCCTCAGAAGGTGTATTTACAAATCTCAAAATAAATTTGGCTAGAGAGCAAGACTGTCCACAACCAAAATATTTTTAAAATAACCTCTTAGAATACAGTCATTTTGACATTTTAAAAATCAGCTTCCCTCGCAAGCATTCAAAAATCATGTTTGGTTATCTAACAAGAAAAAAACCACTTGTGGAAAAAAGAATAGAGCTAGAAAGTCCTAAACCATAATTCCAAAATTAAATAAAAACACCTACAGGATTTTTTTTTTCAGTAAGCTGAAAAAAACATTTAACCCCCCCCAAACAACACAGCGTATGTTGTTGGTAAAGTATTTTCAGGGTTCTCAGCATAAACAACAAAGCAGTCCTATTTCACAGGAGCTACCACACCGAGGACATGGTGGATGCTGTGCGGCACAAGGGAATAACCCAGCTCAGCTGACGAGTCCCTTCAGCATCTAGCGGGACACAGGCACCCTTTTCCTCTTCCTAAGAGCACGGATTCCATCTCACGCTGACCCTCACGCGAGGATCCATAGCATGCTTCTGCAACCGTTTGGCACTGGTCTTCCCAACTGAAACTTCCTTATTTACAGTTTTAAGATTCTCCGCATGCATGGAGATGGGACAGTTCTTCGTTCCATCGCAAGAGGGAAGTCCTGCCAACGGGACGCCTGTGCAAGGACACCTCAAGGAACTTAAATGCTTTTGTGACTCTTCCCCGCATGGTTCAGTAACGGCTATACAGAAAGTGTCAGCTAGCTCAAACTCCTGTCAGCTTCTCCCATGATTTACTATCAGCATTTTTTATACATTACCCCCACATTGATAAAGATAACGGCAGCACTATCTAGTGGAAGTTAGATAAGTTAAATACGTTATCACTAAACACAAAACCAGGAGGACAGTGTATTTTCTAATGTTCTTCCACATCAAGCAGCCAAAGTGGAAACAGTAAAAACAGCAAAAATTACTGAAGCAAGTAAACATGCATTCAAATTCTTCTTCCTTCAAAGTGAAGATCTGTGGCGTCCGCTCGTCTAGCTTAGATCAGAATTAAACTCTTCAACCAAAACCTTGCATTCTCAAGAAATGCATCTGTAGTGGTAACAACCTTGTGCAGAGACCCCAGGAATTCTGACTTCCAAGATAAAAATGAGTTAATGTTTTTTGACTGGCATAATTTTACGATGAAATCAACAAGCGGTTGGTTCTTCTGCCCTTTTTTCTCTCTGCAAGGAGAGAGTGCTACCTCATTCACCTTGATTTCGACCCACGAGATCTAGAGTGTTCTCTGGAACTGGAACGAGATCTTGATCTGGAACTGGAAGAACTTCTTGAATGGGACCTGAAACAACACAGAACATTTTTTTCCAGTGTCTGACTTGTTTTTAGCAGAACTGCCACTGTCAGCAGCAGAGACAATGATGCAGCAATACAATTTGGCCTAGAGTCACTAAAAAGCGACAATTTCCTCCTACGCCCCCAGTATCACCATAGTACATTTTAAGAGAAACTTTAACATAGCAAGAAGGTGCATTAAAAAATTTATAAAGTCAGCTTTTTATTACATTTCCTAAAACAAAGCACAAAAATTAGTGAGGATTGCAGTTACTTGGCAAAATGAAACAACTGCGTATCTATTAACTATTTCATGAAACCAATGCCTGAACTTTTAATTTGTGCCTTAACTTGAAACCCATCAGTTTCTTTGGAAAGCAGAGTAGGTAAGGGTATTAGGACTAGCTCACTCAAATTCTCCCCAAGTCAGTTCTCACAAGCATTATGTAAGCAGTTTCAAGTTTTTTGTAACCTTCATTAAAAATCTAGTAGTAGTTAATTCTTGGCTAAAATACAGACATATCTAACGCTACTTGGAACTAGTCAAAATTCTTATCAAATTTTTCACATTGATGGATTTTCTTTAAAGCACAAACCACAAAAGATATGTAAAAAAGGCAGCAGACTTGCAGTAACTATCATAAAAAAGAAGGCATTGCAATCAAATTCTAATAATCTTTTCAGGAAAAATATATTACACATGCTGTCATTCACCTAGTTTATATTGTCACCATGTCTTTTTCATTTTACTGTGCAAAAAAAAGGCAGTATGAACACATGCTAACTAGAAATGATATTTAAACCTTTTTAAAAAAAACAGAGAAGTGCAAACGGCAACTGATATTTCCAATTAATTCTCTGTAGCTAGAATCAAGAAATTCGACAGTGTTGAAAGATCCCTAGCAAATTTCAGTCATTACCAGCTGCATTTGTGAGTTAACGAACAAAGTTATTGCCAGATGAAGCTGTTCTGTCTTCTTTGACCTTCCCAGCCCTAAACCTAAGGACTGCACCCAGACACAGCCCGGACTGCCTGCAGGCCATCCTCACAGCCACTTCCTCAAAGGCCTTGCTCCACACCTCGCTTCATTTACAAAACTGCTGACAGCTGGCCAGCTCAGTCACTACCATTCGCTTAGTGCTCCTCCTTGGAGCCACGCGGCACATACACAGCTCCAGACGGCATTTGGTGGAGTGGGGAGGCTGACAATAGGTACCATGAAGAACATAATCTTTCAGAGAAGCAGCAGTATAAAAAAAAGCATGACAGCAATGGGGAGAAAGACAAAACAGACAGTGGCTGGCATCAAGTTAGTATGAGGGTCGGAAGAATTTGGGCAGTGATCACAGCCGTGAGTGCAGAGAGGTCCAGTTGCAAAGCTAGGAAGATTAGAAGACACTTGAACTTTATGTATAATCCTATGAGCTAGTACCGATTTGAGGTCTTAAACCTAACAGCAGCATCCTTGTATTAATTGGAAGGCTGCTAAAAAACTATGTGACTTACATCACACGATTACAAAACATTTACCGATTACTGAATTTAAATAATCATGTGAGGTCTTCAGCCTACCCAGCAGACTTTTTTTGTGGCCTCATGATCAATATAAACCTTTAGCGTTATTCTGACAACATTGCCAAGCTCTGTTGCTTGCCATTAAGCTGAGTTCAAGTTTCTTGTCTTCATTTCCAGGATATTTTCCATGCTGTCCTTTCACTGAATCTGTCTGGACTGCATCATCACTGCCCTCTTCTGCCCCCTCCTCCCACTTTAACACCACCACCCTTCTGCTTCTCTATCAACTCTACTCAACGTTGCTAAAAAATTTCACCCACTGAATCACACATGGCCAACAAGCCTAAAAATAAAATTGAAAACAAGTTATATTTTTCAATTAATTTGAAATATCAACTGAAATTTACCAAAACAAGCAACAAGACACATGAAGCCTCCCTAGGGAGGATCCTCAGGTCAGGACAGAACATTATCTACCCGTGTAAATTCTGTACATAAAATGGTTAACATTATTCAACTAAAACTGTAAGGCAATCAAGAAAAAAAAGTAAATAAGGAAGTTAGATACTGACATTTTGCCTGGCGTTACCCTTGACCTGTACCCGTTTACCTGGACCTAGACCTTGAGCTTGAATGAGAGGATGAGCGCGATGAAGATCGTGAGTGGGAAGATCGAGACTTAGAACGACTGCGCCTATTGGATTTCTTTTTCTTATTAGTGTCCTCTTCTTCACTGGCATCAAGATTATATTTTGAAAGGTCAGCATCATCTTCATCCTCATCCTGAAAAAATGCAGAAACACTTAAATATGTGGATTGTTTTCTTCAGTCACTTTTTTACTTTATGGTTTATTTTGTGTTTTTTACCCAACATTTAAAAAGAGTGTTTACTTGAGAGTAAAGAGTGACTGAAAATGTGTGTTTCAGAGCAAGCTAATAAAAAGCCTGCAAAAAAAGCCCATCTGAAGTCCCATTTTCTGTTACTTAAGTTAAAACACAGACACTCATTTCTACCAGTTACTTTTTAAAGGAGTGCCTGGAAGACTTTTCAGACTCAAAATCTGTAACCATAGCACAATTCTGCAGAGACATGTTTTGTATGCAGAATTTGATGACTGCTGCGTAAAAAATAAGCATATATGCATGTCTCTGCAGGACTGCTGTCCAAAGACGTGGACAATCCAGTATAGGATGATCATGTTATTTCAGGAAAGATGAAAAAAAATCTCCGAGTATTTTATTCCATTTTATAAAAAATAAATCTGACGTGGTTTTTAAAGACTAAGAATAAAATTCAAGAACATTCCCTTTATATGGTAACCATACATAAAGGTTCCAAAGAACAATGTCAACATTTTTGATCCTGATCTCAGATAAGCTTTTAATTTTTTGTGGTTTAAAAAAAATTATACATCTTTGAATGCAGGCACCATTACTCTGATAGCTACTCCTCTACACTGCTCTAAAGGCAGCTAAAAACACAGACCAAACCTTACCTACTGAACAGCACTGTAGTAATAATTCAAAAATAATTGCTAAAAAAACCCCAAACCCAAATCCAAAACACACTACCTCATCCAATTTATATTTGGAGAGATCTTCATCCTCATCCTCCTCATCTTCCCCTTCAGATTCCTTATCTTCTACTTCCTTCAGGATAGACGCAGGACCAACCGGCTTCCCTCTATATTTTTTCTTTTTGCGTCCAAACTAAGAAATTTCATTCCATTAGAATACAATTTAATCAAGAGTAATTTCCAACTGTGTTTTTTGGTAAAACTTCTCTAAGAAAATAAATACACATCAATTTAAAATAAGGTATCACTCAAAGGGAAGAAGCATCATGAAACATCAATTAGCAACAAGAAACTTTCTAAAGAGACGCTTGTCTTGGATACAATCAGCACCCACAGCCAAGATCAATGGAAATCTGAATTTAACAAAAGAGTACTTTATATTTGTGCTTATCTTTATAAACCAGTCTTGAACATCTGGCTGAAAACAACATGCATGACCCTGAAGCCAGCTCCCTAAGAAGTTTAACGAACTCAGCTTGTACCAGTTTAATTTGAACTCATTCTTAGTTTTTAACCCCCAACAGACAAAACAGATGCATTCGCTTTCAGTTCAAACCTGTGACACTTGAGCTTTTGATGGAGAGATGTGTCACAACGTATTTCTGACTCGCGCTTTTCCCCGTACAGAAACCAAATGCAAATGTATGTGTCCTAAACGCAGGTGTCACAACACACGTCGCTCCAGAGTTGTGCATGTACCTAATCTTACCTCATCATACTCCCCATCTGATTCTTCACGTTCTATATATTCAACGTTTTCTCGTTCATTAAATCCTCCTCCGTATCCTTTAAAAAAAGGGGTAAAACAGGACAATCTCTTGAGCTGCACCAAATTCAGCTACACAAAGCACAAAGTTTATTCTAAACTTCCACAGAGGTTCTGGAAGCCTTCGGTGGATTTATAAACACATGCCATAAGAACGTAATACGATCTCAAGAGGAACATGAGTTGTTCCCACACTTGTTTATTAAATATAGTTCCTCAGAAACCTAATTGAGAAAATGGATTAAGACACATAACCAACACAGAAGGAATAGTGTTCCGCAGGGAACAAAAGCATCCTGTAGCTGCAGTGAGCTGTACAACTGCCAAGATTTGCCTTAGGAATCTTTCTATTCCTTTTTATAACGCAAGTGGAAAACTTCAACAGCTCATTTCAATTTCAGCTGACTTTCATTTACTGCAAGAGTGCACAACATGCCAGCTGTCCTGCACACGACTGCAAGTTTACTCTGAAGGACACCAGAACTTGAAAAATTAATTACATATTTAAAATATGCAATTATACAAAATATGATATGAAATACAAATAAATATTATTCTCTAATATTCTTACAATATTAAACAAGAACATTACAAAAATACTCTTTTTCCTTTTGAATAATAAGGTCTGGGCTCTTCTCCACGCTTCTTTTTTTTATATCCGTTAGCATTACACTCTATGCATTAAATTCTCTGCCTGATCCCCTTTGCAGTGGTAACAGTATAGTTACGACCGCACTGTAAGGATATCCTCTGTTCTAGTTACCGCTGGGTTCATTGTTAATGCAGGAGTAACTTAAAACGCGTCATGGTGTGACCAAACCTCATTAAGAGACCACAGCCTCATCTCTACAGCCTTCAAACGCTGTTCTGGTGACTGCCGATTCCTCTGTAGATAGACACCATATATACACTACACCTTAATAAAATATTGCATTACTCCTTCCAAACATCTTTGCATCAAAATCAAATATAGAGGCAGTTTAAGCTGAATATTTGTTGACTTTCCACATGAAACCATCACATACTTTACACACCACTAAAAGTAATCAAGAACCTACAGATTTATTTTCATATGGAAGACCATTCATCTTTGCTAGTTCTGCTGTGAAAATAATCCCTTTAATTAAATTACATTGTGATTTATAAAAAGGTTTCTTACAGTAATTTGAGTATTTTAAAACCATATACACCTTACCTGTCCTCTCCTCCAATTTAGCGTACTTTGGAGTATTACACATATTACATTCTGATCTTCTGGCCCAGTTCACGTTACCACATCTTCAGAGGCAAAAAGAACAAAACAGAAATCAGAAACATTTCAAATCAAAAAGCTTAAGTGCTGAGGCAACATGTAAAAAAAAATTATAAAAATGTATTTGCCAAGTTTTAGCACTAGTACAACACGATTAACTCCGAGGCCAACAGTCCCTACGACACAAAGAACTGAGAGAGTCTACAGGTATTTCACCAGTACGAGGACGACGGGAAGGTGACCGTACTGGAAAAAACCAAGGGAAAGAAGGTAGGCAGACAAGGTAACGCAAGTAAGACTACATGAAAAGCGTTAAAATTCCTCATCACTCTCCACTAGTGGCATTCACAGCTCAGAGGAGTTAACGAAGAAGCTACCACAGGAATAACACTTATGAGCTGCCATCGTCACCCACCGATGCACAGCTACAGTTATGTGCTGTACGGCATTTCTGTCTTACAGCATCCTGAAAGGCCGCTCGTGCATCATCCATCCGCAACGCTCTCATCGGGATGCTGCTCCGTCCCACAGCGGAGGGGAGGGGGCCCACAAGGCACAGCCCAGCTACGGGCTTGGGGGGAACAGGACAATCCTACGCGTGCCATCAGCTGGATTCCCCCTGGTGCTGCCCAGGAGGAGACCTGTCCGTCCGTGCTGCAGAGCAGCGCAAACGGAAACCCATCAGGCTGAACACAGCCAAGTTTGGACAGAACAAAATAGTAACAAAAAAAATAGTTCCAGGTTTCGCTGGTCAGACAGCTGACTCAGTCAGCAAAACCTGAAATCCTTAAAAGTGCTCCAGAAAGCCTGGAGCCTTTCCAAAATCAAGGCATTTTATTAAAATAGTCCTTCTCTAATTTAGATCTTAATGCTCTTGATCTGATGGCTTAGAGAAATAGCTAAGACTTTAACTATGTGCTAAACTGTACTCATTAAATATCAAGTGAATGGTAACAATAAAATATCATACTGCAATGAAGGTGTTACTTCCATCTACACGTTTCTTGAGAAGTGTCTCGGCTTATCAAAGACAAACATGAGCTTTCACCTGTCTAGTCTTGATTTTTTTTTAATCTTTTCCCAGTCATGTTAATTAAGTAACTGCTGCCCAGCAAACAAAAATGAACGCTGTCCTCACAGCAAAACACTACTGGCAGAATAGCTGTGAGTTTTGATCACTCTCCTCTCATCAGCACCAGCAAATTCATACTGACAAAATTATCTCATAGTAGATGTTTTGTGTGGCTCTAAGAGAACACTCTGCGGTTTTTAAAAGGCCGTACGTTTTACACTGCCAGTCGTTAGCACTGAAGAGGCCACGACTCTTCTCAGCAAGCGTCTTCCCTATTTCAGTCCCTCCAGCTTTCATCATTTTGGCTTCTGTCGTTTTCTCTAGAAAAGAAAACAAAAAAAACAAAAAAAAAGAATCAGTTCACAAACGTCTTGCTTTATGATTAACTAAAAAAGATCTAATGTCTTCTTCTTTGAAAAAGGCAGAAACAGGCGAGGAGGAAAAGATCTATCATCTGAGATACTCACCTCTCCCGCATCTGTTACAGCTAGTTCTTCTAGCAAAGTTAACATTCCCACATCTGAAAATAAAAATAGAGAACGAAGACGCTAGGCAACCGAACGCTGCAAAAAGCGCACACGAGATTTAAAGAAAAACGCCTGTTTCAAACGGAATTTGCTGCAAATTAAACCACTAAGTTTCTCAGGCCGTGCCCGGCCCCGGGACGGGCTGGTGCCGGACCCGCTGCACGATGGGGGCGGGGAGCCGTGGAACCCTGCGGGGAAG